GTCGCAGGAGGCTGAGAAGGCACCTTCTGTTAAAAGGTAGAGACTGCCTTAGGGTTTGTCATTCAGTATCTTCCGACTTGGAGCGGCAACAGAACACAGTCGGAGAAATGCAGCACAGCAAGCAATCATGCAGTCAGCTGCGGTTCATTCCGGCATCGGGGCAAAATACAGACGTCATGGCGATGGTCTGTGCTGATGCGGCAGCGGCACCGGATCTTTNNCTTTCAGTGGCGACGGCAGATCCAGGGCCTCCGCCTCTTTGTGTATCTCGGTAGTCCAAGATGTTGCCCTGTAGGCACGCTGAGGCAGTCAGTGTCGATGAGTACTCTGAGGGGCCCTTCAGACAGTGTACTGTGGTAGCTTGGTATTGAGACTGGCTGAGGCAAAGTGCGGGCACAAAGCGAGCACCACGTTTGGGATTCTGGCTTGGGGCTCTGGAGGGCCAAATGTGGCAACAGCACGCAGCACCCACTCACCAGAAGTGGCGGCGATCACCTCACGAGTTGTTCACGCCTCTCTGCAGCAACTGTTCTGGCTCTGATTTTGGCCTGTCTTGGGTGTCCTCTGATTCTTAGGCCAGTCGATTCACCGGTTGCCGTCCCTAGTGACTTTTGGTTGCAGGTGCGGCAGCAGTGGGCGAGCGACCGTCGGCAGAAATTGAAGGCACGCTCCTGATACCTGACGCAGTTGCCTGTCATTCCTGTTTCGTTGTATGATGTCACAGCCTGCTGGGTGAGGCCACGCCTGGAGCTGCAACGAGTGACCCTGGCGATGGGGCGAACGACCTGCAGATGAAGGCTCCTGTGCCTTGTTGGTGTAGTGCTCCTGCTGGGGTGCGTGTGCGACAAAGGACTTGCAGCAGAACCGGGAAGCACGTCATGCTCTCTTGCTCGTTTGTTGGCACAGTTTCCCTGGCGAGGCTGTGGAAAGTGATGCATTCAAATGCAGACGGAGGCACCGTCCTTTACACTTGCCGTAGCTGTTCTGTCAGCATAACTGAATTCACAAGGCCGTGCCTGAAGAGACGGAGCTTTGCTCTGGGCCAACAGGACGTTTCTGGGCCTCGCGCTGTTGACCCCTAAGCCTTTGTGAACCCGAAACAGGCTTCTCCCCATTCACCCCGAAACCCTAAACCTTGAAGCCCCAAACCCTTGCAGGACAAGCAGCACATGTCGATCCTCCAGTGGTGAAATCCGAACAGAGCCATCCTGCGCTTTCCAGCGGTGCGGTATGTGACACGCGCGAGAACAGTGCACCTGCTTCAATTGACCCAGCTCGCCTGATGGAAGACTTCTTGCGATCTCGAGCAGAACTTATCCTGAAACCAGGCTTTTTTCTCGAGATGCTCGATTGCTTCTTGTATGCCCTCACAGCAGGAGTCAATTTGAAACTGATAATCAATCGTGCAGAATGGGAAGAGGTGCGAGTTGGGGATTTCCTGCAGGAAGCCCTGCCCAATGTGCGACTGAACGTTCCCAAACCTGAACCGGGCACAGAATGGTTGGTGGTGCTGACGGCATCCAGTTTCGCCCCGTGGACCGGGCAAAGCATGAAAACCCTGAATCGCTGGATTCCTGCTTTCAGAGCAGCACGTGCAGACAAAGAGATTTGGATGCGACGTGCTTCGGAAGAGGTTGAGAAGCATGTAGCACAAGCGCATGCTGAGGCTGCTGCCAAGGGCAGCGACCCAGAACAAATTTTGCAGGGTGAGCGCAAAACTGGTAATTACATCAGATTCGTGAAGCGCCTCCTCGCACGCGAGATTCTCTGCTTTGACGTCCCTGGCTTTGGCGACTGTGGATGCCATGCTTTGTTTGCCTTGATGCAGGAGCGCATGGATGTTTACCTTAATGTTTCATGTCGGGCTCCTCTTATCTCAGCGAGGTGTGACTGAGGTTTGGACGTAGACTTCATGTATGTGTCCCAGCACGCCGCGCAGGACAGCCCTGATGTGGCTTTCCTTGCAGCGGAGCTGCCGGGCATGGAGCCACAATTGCGTCAGATTCGGGAGGAGCTGGCAACAGCCTGGCGCAGCATAGCATCCGTGCCTATCTGGCATGAGCTCGCAGGCATGGCTGTAGCGGAATACACAGCCTCGAAGCAGCCGGCTGCAGTCGAGACCCCTCCACGTAAGCGCCCCAAGCGGGAACTTGAGATGTCCCCCGCAAAGCATTCCGGCAAGACCGGTCTTTGCGGGCAAGTTGGTGCGACCAGATTCCGTGGTCATGAGATCTGCGGAGGGGCAAGGGCCGCTTCGTGCTGGTGGGGAAAAGAACGGCGCACAGGGCGGCAAGAAAAAGACCGGGAAGCGAAAGGAGCCTGTGCCTCCAACAGAAGAGGAGTGTTGGGCGCAGGTGGTGTCAGCCCACGGTCTGTCGTATCGGCGTTATGTGCAGTATCACGCGAAGTACAAGCTCATCAGGCGGGATGGTTCCTGCCGTGTAGTCCTGTTGGTTTCCAGCACAATTCCTGCCTGAGCCTTAGCTACTGCAGGAGGGACAGAATCAGCTGTGCTTGCACGGACTTCGCTGGCTTGCGGCGCCGCTTGGTATCTCGGCTCGTGCACAATAGCTCTGCATGCTCCGGAAGGTCTAGATGCTTGAAGTTCTAGAGTCGCAGCATGTTGCTGAGATGACGCTGAGGCTGCTTCTGACTGGCCTGCAGATTGCGAGGCTTGCGTGGACCTGCTGCAATTCGCAGGTTGGACCAAGGACTCGGTAGGGCCTCGGCTTCAGGAAGCGAAGACCCAGTTCCAGCGTGGCCAGGGGTCGAGGGAGGCTCCGGCTGATGACGGTGCCGTGGTGCCTGCCAGCACGGACGATGCAAATGCCGAACCCGGGAAGCGAGAGTATGCTCGACAGCATGGTCTAGAGATCCTGCCGAAGAACTCGCACGGCAAACTGTGGCCAGTGCGCTGCAATGCTTGCAAGGTGACGTTCTGTGGTCGCAATCGTGCGAAGATCAAGCAGCATGTGCAAGGACCAACGCACATGGCCCTTTCGGCCTTGCAGCAGCCTCAAAGAAGCGTGCCTGCTTTGACCGATGCGGTTGTGTCGCCTCCAGTGGAGTGCATGGGTCTTGTCCTCGGCAGCGAGCTCGGCAAGAGAAGTCGTCTAGGATCTAACTTGCTCCCGGTCTGGCAGGAGTACGCCGAGTTTGCATTCCTTGGAAACAGACTCACTGTAAATGGGGCATCCACGCATGTCGTGCAGCGCTTGTGCACGACGGGTGACTGGCACTTCCGCCATGTTTCTTGCACTGGCAAAGCTGCCGAACCCATCCGTGCCAAAGACGGGTCACAGGCTTGCAGCCTGTGTTTCGGATTGGGGAGTGACAAGAACTTCCTTCATCGCATCGCTCGTTTCGTGAGGTTCTTGGATATGGCCCGCCTCCTGCGCGCGAAGATTTATGCCAAGGACACAGTCGATACACTGCTGGACAGTATGACACAGAAAGCGGTGTTCAAGGAGCGGAACGCAAAAGACTACCAGCAGTTCTTCGACATGGAAACGCGGCAGCTGCAGCAGGAAGTGCGGCAGATTTTCCATGGCATCGCCCAGCAGCGCACCACCTCAGCCATGCATTACTTCTGTGCTCACGTCGTTTTCCCTTGCCTCCAAGTACACCCCGATCATGTTCTCCGGGGCATAAGCTTGGACACGTTCTACAGGTTGCTGCAGACAAATTCTTCTGTGCTGCCTGCAGACGTACAGCTAGTGAAGCAGATTGCGTGTGGTCAGATGCATCGGCGACTTGTCTGTGAAGATGTGACCAAAACATCTAAGCTTACGTTTAGGTTCAGGGTTCAAGGTTTAGGATCTGTGTGCAGTTCAAGACGGGTGTTCTTTAGGGCACCACCAATCAAAACCTTACCGTATGCACCCCACTTTCACCCCCCCCATATTACTTCTTTCTCTGATTACCGCCCAAATTCAGAGCATCTACAGTATCTTTAAAACTTTCGCATCACTACACCAGCATCCCCGTCACCACAACCACCAGAAGTACGGCTGTAACTACGTCTGCATGCTGCTCTACTCTTAAAACCCTTCTTATAGCAAAACTCAGGTTTTACAGACCCCCATTTTGGAGCCCGAAAGGGGGGTCTGTCTGGGCAGTAAACCGGCTGATGCTCATGATGCTGGCTTGGCTGCCTGCACGGGCTCATCGTATCGAAGTCCAACGGCTTTCGGCAAGGACATGCCCAACGTCCTGTCACTTGAGTCTGGGCAGATCGTGCTTGTGCAGTTTGAAGACGAATGGACACCAGCCTTGATCACAACAGTGTGGAGAGCCCAGAAGAAAGGGAACAGCATGTGTTGCAACGAGACCCCTCGTGGATGCACCAAAGCCATCCGCGCGGCAATCTTGCAGCCTGCTCAGGACAGGCCTCACGCGTTCCAGGCAAGTCGCTTCAGTCGGTGCGAGATTTTTCCACTGCAGAAGGTGGGCATGCATCTGGAGGCCACAGCCTGCGCCGGCAGCATCGGAGGGTTTGAGTGCGAGCTGACCCGCGAGTCTGCAGGTAGCCCTTGCGTTGGGGTCCATAAGGTTAAGCCTTCAGGGTTTAGGGTTTAGGGCTCAGGGATGCTCAGGGTCCAGGGGGCTTTCAAATTTGGGGCTCCAGGGTTGGAGGCTTATAGGCTCTCGGGTTTATAGCGAATTGCGTATGCTGACAGAGTTTTTACGATTGGAATCCACTGGTACGTTGCCTCAGCCCTTTAGGAACGCTTTGGGGTCCAGTGTCGAGTCGGCAACCTTACCAAACTGCCCCAGGTGCTTACGGACATCAATGTGGACACCGACATCAAGGTAGCGGTTGTGAAGAAGGCAGCGAAGAAGGCGACATACATCGAGCCGAAAGTTGAAATTTTCAGACGAAACAAGAAAGGGCGGAAGCTGATGGAACAGGAGCTATCAAGGCTCTTGGTGGTGGATGCTGAGCGCTTCAAGGACCGGCCGATCGTGGACCCCACAACGAAGACCATTCAGACAAAGAAGGCCAAGCAGTTGCCGGCACCCATGACGCAGCAGCACCTCATCGACAACATTTACAGCTACATGCTCGCCACATTTGTCCAGATCCGCAGCCCGTCTCAGTTCGCAATGAAGGTTCATGCCGAAATCAATCGTTGCGGTCGCGAGTTGCTCAGCAACCCACCATCGAGACATTCCTTGCTGCAGATCGTGGATGCGCTTCTCGATTTCAAGCAGTCAGGGCCTTGCATGGCCCTGGATGCGGCTGCTGCAGTCGAGGAGGCAGCTGAAGACGAGGATGCTTCAGCTTTCGACTAATTTATTTCAAGACAAGTTTCAGGATTCAGTTTGCTGACATGTCTGTCTGCAGAATCCGTGTGGGTATTCAGGCTCAGTACCTCTCTCTCACCCAAAGCTGTTGGAGCATCTGTCGCAGTAGGCCGAGTGCCGACAGATCTTCATGCAGTAGCTTACATCACGCTTTTCGGGATCTCCACTTCGCTTAGTCGTGCTTCGCCGAAGCCACAAACTTGCTGACATATTTCTCTCTCTCGTGGTTTCAGTCAGTGCTCCCTTCAGCTTTGGGCTTCCCGGGCAGTGCTGCCCGACACGTGCTCTACACGGGGCTTGTAGATACAAGGTTAGAGCGCCTATGTGCAATGCGGCAAAGACTCAAATGCGAAGCTCAGCGAGGAAAGGGGTCAAAACTGGACCTGGAGGTGTTTCCTGTGAGCGGTTTTTTGTAAACCTGGGCGGTCCGGCTTTCCAGAGGTTAAGGATGTCGTGTCGTGCGANNTGTTCAGGTTTGCATGCTGTGATTTCCTAGTTTGGGGTCGCGGGCTCGGTTTTGCGGCGATCGGGTTGGTTGGAATCGGTGCAACCGTTGACGTCGGAAATTGAGAATGCTTGACATATGTATATGGCAGTCCATGATCCGTTATAGACTCGTCAACATCCGATGCAGGGTCTGTTTAGGGCTAGGGTCTGGAAAGAGTCGTGTAACCCCTGGGCAGCCAACC